TTGAAAAAAAATTACTTCCATGGACTACAACTAGCATAATGGCTACACAGATTGGGGATTCTGGGACTTGTAGTCTAATGGAGTAACTTTTCCAAGTTCTGTTTCTCTCATATTCAAGGCTTGAAAACTCAAATGCAGGTTTTCTTTTTCTCTATTCTGTCTGCTTTTTTTTAATTGGTCTGCTCTCCATGTCTGCCTTCCCTTTCCTGCCCCACATGTTTCAGCTTGCATGGGCCTTTAAGAAGCCCAAATGGAAGTGTAGGGTAGGTATGGGGTAGTACCAATATGAGAATCCGCCATATCCTGTTCTCTCGACTTATTTCGTTTGCCTTGGGAAGCAGGAGCTGTTCATATTTGTTCTGTCCCAGGTTTTTTAATATTTTAAAACACTACCGTCTCAAAATTTGTTTATGAATATAAAAAGCCATTTTACATATAAAATTAGTGCAGGTGACTAGAAATGTTATAAAAAGAAACTATCAGTTCAAAGTAAATGTAACTATAATAATATGAAACAAATTGCTTGCCGCTTAAATCAAAATTAATATTTAGTCATAATACCCAAACCGAAAAAAGAAAAAAAATAGTTTTAGCTAAAGATTATTAATTCCTGCATGCTGTAATTAATTCAGTATTCTTACTGAAAATATTTGAAGTAAAACATTATTAGAGATTTGCCAAGGCTGATTTTCTCACTCGATGTTTTGAGTGCAAAATAGGGGACTAACAGACCACCACCATCTCAGTTTCTGGAAGTCGGGTCTAAATGTCCAGGGACAGTTTTCCTCTGGATTGGCCACGGCCACCACTGCCACTCACATGGAAAACCAGATAGGTGTCAAACTCTGCGTCCTTTCCCCCAAAGAGAGATGTTGCATTGTAATCAAAGGAGTCCCTGGATAATGAATATAAAGAAAAATAATTTCACTGAGTTCGACAAAACTATTTGTATCTCTTTAGATTTCAGCCGTTAGATGTTCCTGCAACAAGGATGGCAATAGACTCTCATCACTGGCCATAGGGTTCAACCGTCAAGCTTCAGCAGCCTGGCACACTTCTTCTATAGCCAGACAAGAGGGGAAGAAAAAAGAAGGAAGTTCCTTTGTTTTATTCTAGAGCCTCTTAGCTTCTTGCTTTCTTTCTAGACATGCCTCTTGGCTCTTTCCCCCCCCCCACTCCCATAGGCATGGAACAAAGGGCTTATCCTTCCTCCTTACTTCACTATTCAGCCTCAAATCACAGGTGGCGCTGGGACAATCTGCAAGGTCAACACTAGCTATGACCAATATGACTTCATCCTGGAAGTCATCAGGAAGACGTCCCTCTCTTAGTACTCCATTCACACATGAAATAAACTAGCACTCTGCAATTTTTAGTTAATCTGGGATTCCAAATTCTGAGGAGATCAGTGTGCACAGCAGGATAGTGGATGGAGAAGGCTTTCCCACCTGAACAATGGATCTTATGACTCACCTTCAACTGCTTGCCAATTGGGTGGGGTCTATGTACAGAGTGTCAAAATTGGAGGTCACCCTCCACTTCCTCTCTTAGTCATCCATTGGCACATACATGCCAGCTTCTTAGGGGGATGCATTGCATAGCACACTGTTCAGCAAGGTGCAAAGGTTTGGTATTATTCTAATTCAGCGCTACCCAACCTTGGGTAACCCAGTGGTTCTTGAACTGTAGCTCCCAGAAACAGTAACCATTACAGGTATTGGTGATGGCTTCTGGGATCTGCAGTCCAAGAACATCTACTATACCCAAAGTTGAGAACCACTGTTCTACTTGCATGAATAGGACTACAATTTCCCAAACCTAGAAAATAATAACCCTCCATTCTATGTTAGTACTGTAGTGAAGTCTTATGTGGGCACAGCCAATCAAGAGAAGCAGTTCAGGAATTGCAACCTCTTGAATCCCTCTTATTAGTACCGGCTATTCGTTTTTTCCTTCTTTCCCAACAAAGGACTTATGAGACTTATGGAAAGGTTTCTTTTTCCTGCTAGCCCCACCTGGCCACATGCCTCCAACAGCATGTTATTTTCATAGGGGGAAGTTGGCACGTTTTGTTTAACTTATTTCATTTGGCCATGGCTATTTTACAATTTCCACAGAAGAAACAGTGTGGAATGGAAAAAAAATGATACTGTATCATGTTCAGAGATTGTAAAAGTTATTTTTTTGAACTACAGCTTTCTGGACCAGCTTTCAGACAGCATGGCACTTGTTTTCCAAAAAAAGAGGAGAGGGAGGACATTTCCAGGCCCTAATCATGACAAGGGGAAAGAGCACAGAATTTCTGATTTGGGAGAGATGGGGACTAGCATGACATTTACAAAGCTAAAGTTGTTAGGTGAATCACTTGGAGCAGAGTAGGTAGCTAGTCTGCACAAGGAAATGAGTAATCGCCCTTTGCTATCGGGGCCAAACTAGATGTGATCCCAAATACATTATCAGAAGGGGCAGGATTTTTTAATTTTATTTTTAATTTTTAATTTTTTCTTTTGCCAAATCAAACAGCAGACATGAGGGTAGATAGGCTCTTTTAAATTGTGACGCTCATGGGATGGCACTTGTGCCCCAATTTTTAAAGATTTCCATGGTATGAATATCCTCTGGGGAATTTTTTATGACAGAGGTTGAAAACAATTTTGGCTGTCCCAGAGAGTTATTGCTGATACTCACTCTACACACACTTTTTCAAACATAGACAAAAACATTGATGCTCCATTCTCTCTGTCTCTGTCTCTCTCTTTCTTTCGCTCTCTCACTTACATACATACACACATACGCATACAAAATTCATTTTCAAATTCAATTCATAACACAACCCATACATAGGTAATAGGCATGTCTGTGCCTTTCCTAGCCCCATCTTCTAAGCTGATCATTGCATATCAATAGTCGGACATTTCTCCTGCCCTGATTATTTCTGCTCTGTTGAAAATGGAAAATAAGACCCTTCCTCTGTCGCAGAGTTGAAAGAAGACTCCTCTCTCAACACACAGAAAGGCAGATTAGAGACAACCCAATTTGGCCAGGTCTGCAAGCCATCCCATTCATTCCCTGAGCTTTAGGGTCCAGACCTGAGCCTGGGAGGGGGCAGAACTGCTTCGGAACCAACCGATTGTGGAAACGCAGAGGAATCAGATGAAAGGAATCCCGAATCTGAGTAAAATCACCTGCCCAAATAATATGCCAAGTGGGGGGCATTGGGCAGTACTCAAATGTGCCCCTAAGTTGCAGACATGGCTGCCAATTCCACACACCTTGTATAACTTTGCTTACAGTACATATGTGGGGAATTTTTCCATGTTACTCAATTTTATTTATTTATTTATTTGAATAACACACAACCACCTTTGTAATGAGCCAGTGAGCATGGATTCATCTGGGAATGAGTACAGATGGATTCTCGGGGCTTAAACCCCCACCACCCCACCCCCCAGACACAAGAACAAAACTTTATCCTCCTTCAGAGCCACTTCCTCTGAGACGTTTGCCTCACACAGTTTTCCAGAAATCCTGAGTAACCTGGGGAAAAATCCCCACATATAGTATGCCGGCTGCGCGAGAGAAAGAAACACTGGCAGAAAGGCAGAGTCTGAGGAAGATGCTTACCAGGCCAGACTGGAATGGCACTATCCAGTACAAGGCCAGCAAGCCTGAGGTTCTCCATTCTTGTTTTCCCTGTTTTTATTGAAACAAAACCTCACATGCCTCATTTGGCATCCTGTCTTGTTCAGCCCCCTGGCCTGACCTTAGTGGAACTAAGAGGATCTCATGAGTGGAGGATCCCCATGGCCATTCTCCTTGAAAATTTTCTTAGGAAGAGCTTAGTACGATCCATGGTGTGCTGGCCTTAGCAATTCCATGTGTACCGTATTGCTTCAATAAATTTCTGGCCTGTTTTAATCCCATTTCTTGGTGTCTGCCTCATTCTTTCTTCGGTGGCAACGAGCACAAGACACGTGAACTATTTTCAATTATTCAAAAAGGGGAAGAACTTTTTTTTTCATCCTCTGAAGTATAGGGTATTAAGGAAAATTTTAAAAATTCAAAAACAAAAACACAGCTGTGGCTTAAACGTAGGGAAAAATTATGAATTTGCAATAACAGCTGAATAGTAGATTAAGCTGCTCAAGAAGACAGTAGTTTGTCTTGGGAATACAAAAGGCAGGCTTGCCCAGACATCTTTTGGAGTGCTTCAGATGCAGAATAAACTATTCTGGAGTGAGGGTTTGAAAATCTATCTGGCTTCTTCTGAATCCAGGAGACTGTTAGGAGCCACAAAATGACTGCAAAAAAACCCAGAAAAATTAGCCTAGTGATATTAAGTCAGTTCATTTTCAGTACTCTCTTCTCCTGCCCCCAATAGCCTTTCTGGAGTGACCTAAGCAACCTCAGATAAAAGACCTGACTAAGGACATGTCAAAACCCTATTTTGTTTATAGAGAATCTATACTGTTACTTCAGTAAACATTACATATTTAAAGTGTGCAGTCCTTCAAATGAATCACTTACTGTTTGGTACTTTGTAATAGTATGAAATAGATCAGGAATGTTAACTGAACAATAGTTATTCTATAGAACAAGTTTGTCACTCCGTATAGGAACGCCAGGATTCCAGTTAAGAAAGCATGAAGCATTTCAAACTTTCAGGAAACATTTAAATCTTTCAAAGTACTAAATCTAAATACAATAAGGATGTACTTTGTCCCTGACTCCCAGTGAAGATAGTTTGTGCTCCAGCTGTGATGAGGAAAACATTATGTCCAAAGAACACAAGGGAACTCTGTGTCCGTGTTTTCAGGGGGGAAAAAAGATAAGTGCGTTTTTCATTGTTCTGAAATTGCAGTGTAATGTAAACATTGGGATCAAAGAGGAAAGGTTGCTTATGCAGAGTGAAGAGGAAAGGTTGTTTACTCATAAGCACTCTTGCCTCAGAGGTATTGTTTGTCACAATTAAGAAACACATTAATTTCCATTGTCCCCACTGTATTCTTCCACTCTTCCTTCTTGCTTTTTAAACATTTTTCAGCTTGGATGGAAGCCCGGAATTCAAACTAGAATTGCATTGTGTTTCAATAAATAGATGAGAAGGCTTTTCTTGCTAACGTTGAAGGTCCGTCTTTTATTACGAAAGAGCAGGCCGTGTTGCCATGTCTAGAAAGAGGAGAAAAACAAACCACAATTATTGATCATTGTTTGGCTTTCAATTCACATTGGTTCTGCTGGGCTGAAAAGGGTCAGGGGGGGGAAGACAAAAGCAAAAAGTGCCTCCATCAATTATCTTGCCAAACTATTCATGTGAAGTCTCCCAATGGGTTTTCTTCCTCAGAAGACTAGTGAAGTAAGAGGATTCTGTGGCCTCCAGTATTAAAGGAAATATTAAAAGGACTGAATAGCTTCCTCTGTGGCCTTTAAAGTTCAGCAAGCTTCTCTGTGTATATTTACACATGGAGACCTGTCAGGATTCTTGGCTATTTAAATTACATAAGTATTAGTAATAAAGAGATTTTCAACACAATATACTACCCATGCTCTTGAATTTGAATATGTGTAATATTTTGAATGCCAGATTAAAGCCTCTGATATGTACAAAATATTTGGGATGTTTATTGCAGAGGAATCTATTGATCGTATTTTAATGTATATTTTTTATTTCAGGTATCATAAATTAACAGAAGGTGAATAAGTGAGAAGGAGTAGCACTTGTGCAAAGCAATGAAGATGGAGATGATGAAACTAATTCCCACAAGTGTGTAGCAATATATTATTATACAAGCTTGTAAGTAGTAAAGGGGGTTGAAAGAATGTTATTGATAAAGCCATCAAGAGGACACAGCTGACAAATGACTAAATATGCCACCAAGTACTTGGATTTGTGTTACCTCCTTGGCAGTGTTTCAAGGGCTGTTTTCATGCGCTCTGAAAACAACCCTTTTGGTGTGCTTTGAAAACAACAAAACAATTGTTCTCAGAGCACATGAAAACAACCCTGGAAACAACAGCATCTCAGCCAAACCTGACAGAGAGGAAGAAGGACAACCAACCTTGTAATGACCCACCACCATACTCAAACATGTTCACAAGTACCATTAGTGGTCCTGAGTAAACATATACTCATGAGCTCCTGCTGCAGTGGCTCCAGAACAAGCCAGCCTGCTTCTCTCAAAACAACACCTATTTCATTCAACATCCAAATTATATTTTTTGTTTTACAAACATTGATATGCCACTGTAATCCAAAACAGTTTCCAAGCCAATACAAACTTCTTGGCCATTTAATGTATTTCTTTTCCACTTACCATGATTCTAATCAACATGCCACCTCAGGTAACATATAAAAATGTAAAATTCAATATCAACAAATTCTAAAACCATATCAGATTTAAACCATGTTAAAACCAATTGAAATTGACTAAAAATACGTGGCAGCAGCAAATACCATTTAAAACTCTAATTAGAAGCCAGAGAAAACAAGTATGTATTTCAAGTCCTCATTAAAGAAAAATAGTTACAGAGGGAAGGAATTAACTATGTCTCTTCTGGAAGGGAATTCCATAGAGTAGCCGCTTACTCAGTGTAAAGCTTTCACTAGTATGACCAAGGCTGTTTCAGGCCCCAAGTCACACCTGAATCCCAGTGGAAACAAATCTAAATAATCTGTCTCCTTTAAGATTCGCTTTTAGGGCCACCATCTATGCCACAACATTGTTCAGGAATGGAAAACTAGACAGTAAGTGGTAATTATTGCAGGCGATCCCATCTAAGTTTGGTAGGAGAGGGAAGGAGAACATCAGGAATTTATTAGGTCCATCATCTATGCCACAACATTGTTCTGGAATGGAAAACTAGACAGTAAGTGTTAATTACTGCAGGCGATCCCATCTAAGTTTGGCTTTTCTGAAGGGAACCTGGTAATTGTCCCCTTAAGGATGGTGGGCACCATTCCTTCCTGCTAAGTCTGCAGAGCTTGGAAGTAATTAGCTGCAAGTAGCGCACCTATAGTTTACTTTGGGGTTAAAAAGTAAAGTAACAGCAAATGCAAAATGAATTTTTATGGGTAATAAGTAACAGCTTTTTAGCCATAACTAGTAAGACATAGTTGCTTTCAAAAGTCACTTTTTAAGCAAAATGTAAGGCAATTTAGAAACATTTTGGTAGACCTTTTTCAGATTCAATGCTATTCCCTTATCAATCCTAAGTGACAAAGGAGATGTTCCTTGTTTTTGTCTTTTCGTAAATGTTTCCAATATCCCCCTGTCCTCCATTAGAACACAACGCAACAAATTACTTATGCAATCACTGCAGAATAAACAGGATCCAGATTGCCACAAAATAATTAGTAACATGGACAGTTGCTTGTAACACATAAAACTGCAAAGCTCAAGAAGTAGTTTTTTTTACTTCAAAAGTTTTAGCCTTGTTCTGGTGCACTTTAAAATCCAGGATGATCAAAGATCAGGTAATAGACCTCAGTCTTCAAGGAAGCTCATCCGCATCCCCAGACTGTGCATGCTGAAAAGTATCCACAACCCTACGACTGGGCAATGCGCTAGCTGCATCCATCCCAGTAAAAAGTGCTTGTAGTTGGAAACAAGTCTATCTAAAGAATACAATACAAGTCGTTGAGGGTTCTCCATCTTGGGTCCCAAGATTTAAACAAACTCCTCACCATTCATAGTAGCAGGGCTGGCCAGCATTCTGGAAACTTTGATAATGGAGAAATAAGACCTGTTTTTAACCAGCAGCGTTGTTGACAAAAGAGGCCCGATCTCTGTTTTGCCTTGTTTGTTTGCTATGTTTGCTTTTGCTTATCTGTCTGTCTGTCTTTGGTTTTTTTTTTTTTGCTACTGTTACTCTGGTTCTCAACCCAGTCTTTTGATAGCCTTCAGTGCCTCAGAATACCAAGCACAGATCTGGCTGTGTGATTTGGTGGAGGATCTTTGGGAAGAATCATTTTGATTGTCCGGAACACCCCTTCATGACCAAGGCCGTGACAAGGCCATTGTCCCAAGCTAATTTGGATTCTTTAATCCCTAAGGCAGACCATACCAACTGCCTGATGCTGGGAACTGGACATAAGGCAGGGGCTCTGTTCTGTTCTACTCTTGGGAAGATGGCAGGCAGCCTAAAGATACAACTAGATTAAATCATTAGAGTTACGCTGCCTCCCTTACCTGCAGTTTGTTTCCCCCTTTTCTGTTACGGAACACCAAGTCCAGCATGGGCCCAATATAATTTGATAAAAGTGTATAACTTTCATAAAAACCCATGAAATTGAGAGCTGCTCTGGGCGCATCAACCTAATCCTTTTGCTTGCATAACCTCACTTTTAATAAGAAGGCATGTAAGATACCTTGAATTCTGCCTTTGCGGCACACAGGAGGGCAAAATGTCAGCCAAGTCATTGCAGGTGCCCCGAATTCTGGTTTTGTGTTGCCTCCAGAAGGATTACCTTCTGGAAGGAAAGGAGAGTTGTTGAAATCTGCAGGTAAGCAGGTCATGGAAGGGAAAACCATTTGCCTTTTAACCAACACACAGAGAGAGAGAGAGAGAGAGAGAGACCAGAACTCCAAATTTTCAAACTGGATGTGGTCTTCCAGCCACTTCCTTTTGTTTTGCTTAGTTTTGTGGCAACTTGCGTGGGCCTCAGAGAATCCTGGGAAATTAAAATGGCCCCTGAACCCCTTGACATTGTCCATCCTTGCCACAGCTAGTAGTGTTTCAGACAGTGCAGAAGAACTGGGAGAAATCCTACCGCCCCCCGTGGCATCTTGTCCCCTCAAAGGAAAGAACTGAAAGAAAGCCCATGGAGATTTATCTTGCTTCACTCCTCTGTCACTAACTGCATCACTTTCCACAGGTGATAGATTGCCCTTGCAAAGGCCATATTTTCCAACATAGTCTTCCTGTCATCATGCATTCATTCATGATTTGGGGCAATAAGACAATCAAAAGGGTAAACAACCTTTGCTTGCAGTTTAAGGAAATGTCTGTATTTTATTTTATTTTTTTGACAAGGTAGTTCAGAGTGATTTGAAATTACAACAAAATGAATTTTTAAATGATTGGAGATTGATATTTAGAAATCTACAGCCATAACGTTAGTAGGTGCTTACCTGCAGATTGCCCTTTTGCATAATCAGAGGCAACATGCCAGAGTTAAATCTATTTAGAGAGACTTTTCCTCAGAATGTGCCTTGACACATTGTTATTATTATGCTGCGATCTTTCATCCTAGCAGGTTGAGTATTAAAGCCAGTCATCACTGTCTTACTCTTGCAGGGTTCAGGCATCCTACAGCATTCACTGTGTGAAAATGTGTACATTTATTTCTATTGTGTATTAACTAAGTGATTTTTAGCCTTCTTCCTTCCTTAATGCTGCACCTCAAGCTCACAATCGCTTTCAATACCCATTTCGCCCTGTTCAGTTTGATCTTTTCTGTAGAGTGCTCTGGAGAGAAAGCAAACAGCTCTCCAAAGAAAAACAGGACTAGTCCCCACAATGCTAATTGAAAATTATATCTGTCATTGAAACTGTCATCCACTCAAATCAATATTTGCTGGTGTTGAGTTCAGCAACCCTGTGCTGTTGTTATAAGTAGCATTCCGTAATCTGATACAATAAAGGGTTGTTGTGTTGAAGTGGGTGATACGGAAAATATAGCTGGATATGGAAATTAATAGAAAGTAAATATATTACTTCCTTTGCCACAGAGATCTTGATTACCTGGAATCCAGACTTCCAGTCAAAAACAATGTAATCAAAACTGGCCAAAATCTTATTTAAAAACACCCTTGTGCATGGGGTAACCAAACAGCATTTCCCCCCCTACAGTAGGTCCCCTTCAAGCATCCAACCACATAGATGGTTGTGTGTGTAGGTCTAGACATGGGAAAGAGAGCCTGTGGGGGCAGAGAGGACATTTTTACAATTGCCCCCATTTTCTATGTTCAGTAAGATTCTGGACCCTGTCTTTCGTAGTCTGGACCAACAACATTGTTTCTGGCATAATTAAAATGTTAGTGAGTGTCCTGTTTATTTAAGAGAGAGCATTACATTTCACTGGCTTCAGGACCAAAACAACTTACAGTATAGATAACCTGTGATCAGAACAGGCATATTTTTAACTAATGAAAGGACCTGAATGTTGCCCTTGAGCTTCTCTTACCTTTGGGAACACACAAAGTAGCCACCTTTGTTTTATGGTTCATCTTCATAACATCACAACACATGATTCCTTTGTTGCTTTTGCAAACCTGAAACATTGTTTCAATCATTTCCCTCTTACATTAACATGCTTTCAGCTCTAATTATGAACTACTTGTAACGTCTGTTTCTGCTTACGGCTTTCACCTCTTCAGTTTGAGTGTCCTTATGGTTCAGTATAATGTTGTGCATGTATATACTGTATATGCGCATAAAGGTTGCGTAATAATGTACAGTAGATCGATAGCAGCCACAAAATGCTCATCATGTAAACCACTATTTGTGTGTTTGAAGACCTTAGTCTTCAGGAGCATAGATTTTTAATTTGATATTCAGTATCCTGACGCTTGAAGATAGGAGGGCCTGGCTTGCTCTGGTCCATGGGGTCACGAAGAGTCGGACACAACTTAATGACTAAACAACAACAACCAATCCTGATGCTCACCAGGTGTTGCTTTCAAGGATATGACATGTATTAAGAAATGAATTAATTTCAAATACTATTACTGCCCTTGTTACAAAATGATGTTTGTGAATACAATGAACAGCTGTCTGTTAATCTTCATCAGCATAGGTTCTCCTTTTCTACATGTTTCTGACAGACTTACAAATTCGCCTCCAAAGTATGATAAATGCAAGATATATAAGTGAAGAAAATTGTGTGCTGTGGCAAATGAACAAGCACTTGTATTCTCAAAGGCTTTCACGGCTGGGTTCCGATGGTTGTTGAGTTACTTAGCTCTATCTGTTCTATCCGCTGCAGATGCCAGCCACAGAGACTGGCAAAATGTTAGGAAGAAAAACCTCCAGAACACGGCCAAACAGCCTGAAAACGTACAACAGCCATCAAACAAGCACTTCTAAAAATGTCCTTTCACCAATGGAGCAAGTACGTCTTCTGAAAAGGTGCTAAACATGTGGGCCGAAATCCTGTTGTTTAGCATAGTAAATCACATTATCCCACATTGAATCCATGGAGATTTCTTGAGTTATATAACTAAACTAAGAGTTTGATCACACATGAGAAAAGAAGCCTAGTTATATCGATTCTTTTCGTATCTTTGTTGTACCAATACATTTATTTTTGCAGTCACGTGCTATTTATACTGGCGAGAGGGTTCACATTGTTTTTAACTGTATTGATTTCTTTCTTTCTATTTGAACCATTAAAACAGGCTACACTGCTCTCAGTTTTGTATCCATTCATTTTCCCTACTGTCTCTTGGGCCAATCAGGGCCCTCGTTGCCTTTTTTTTAATAACTAAAGTGATACATTGACAGTGGAATAAGAGAGGCCTGAGCCTTCTCTCCTTCCCTTTTCCTTTCCTTCCTTTACCCGACCCCTTTGCAAGGGTTTAAAAAAGGGACAGGAGAAACAGAACATGCCTCTGCTCAAGCCCTTTTTCAAAGGGACTGGGGAAGGCTATCTCATTCAAGCGGTCTTCTGCTGTTTTTGCTAGCAGCTGCTGCTGTTATTTAAGGGATATCTTTACGAGCCAATTTGTTGATATACCATTAAAATAAAAATAAGCTTTAAAAAGGGAACAAGCACAGGGAAGTGACCACAGTGCCCATAAACCTGACTCTTTTGCAAAGGAAATAAATCGACAGCAGCATTCACACTGGATGAAATAGTAAGGAATGAAGCGATTCATCATTGGTATAAAATAAAACAACCCTCCCGGCAAGGGAGAAATAAATCAGAAATAAACCGCTGGCTAGGAAAATGAGTCAATCATGGGAATTTATGAAATAATCTTTAAGAAAAAAGCCAGATCAGTATAACTGGGGTTCACTTGGCAGGTGTGATCAGGCCCAATGTCGCAGTTAGAGCAGACCCATTTGAATGGAATGGAACTCACTGGATTCCCTTTGATTCAGTAGGCCTACGTTGGTGAAACTTACTATGCTAATCAACAAGATTTTGGCCAAAGGTCATCCCAACAGAAACAACATAGAGTAATTGCATGGACAGAAGGCAACATGAACTGAAGTCAGCTTCATTAGATGAATGGTTGAAACCTGGATGGGGTAAATGTGGAACTGTAAATAATACGTTCAGAGGGAAATGAAACACATAAAGTACTGATAGTAGTAATTATTGTATTAACAGTGGCCATTCACCAAACAGTTATTCAGTGACAACATAGGTATCCCGAACAAGGTGCGCCAATTAACATATGTAGCGTACGTGATTTCAAAAAACATCCACCAAGTGAAGGGAAATAGAGCTGTGTGTCTTTGCCAGATATATTTCAACTAATACATTTTCCAAAAATCAAACTGGACCTATCAATACTGAAACTAGAGCCAAATAAGCATAATACTATATGCAAATTTTACCAGTGAGTTCTTAGAACAGTCACTGATAAAGAGGTATATAAATTCAGTGCTTGCCAGCATTTTAGCCCTTTTGGCAACTGTGTCCTGTTGTGTATTGGCTGTGGCTGTGGGAACTCCTTTGAAGAGCTAAGGTAGGAAAAAAATCACTCTCCATCATTCTGCACAAGCGCTGCGCCTTTGGCTTTGCTCATCTTCTATTAATTTAAGATGTCTGAAATTAGAAATGTATGTGAAAGATGTGACTTAGAGAATGACGTTCCTCATTCTGCACTAAATTTCCTGTCTGCATTGTACATGTTGTCAACATGGCAGAGGCCTACATTTGATAGTAAAGAAGGGAGATGCACTTAAATACAGAAGTTAACTGCTTCTTAAGAAGATGTAATGGTTTAGATCTGAAAGAAGGCACAGAGGAGGGAGCTTATGTGAGAGTCTTTGCCATCTTCCCACCTCTCCACAGAGCCCTGTGAAACTTTCAGAACAGTGTGGTATTGGAATGGGACTTCGGGGTGGCATCTGAGACTGAGGGGTACACATGGCAAGAGCAAGAAGGATGAGAATGTCTTTTGTGTTATCTTCCTTCAGCTCACTCTACTTAGAATCTGTGTGAGCGTGTGTTGCCTTGCCAACCCATACCCCTAGCAGTGATGTAATTATTGATTCAATAGCCAGGAATCCAGGTGTCTAATCACTTAGGTCAATAACCTTACGTTATTGGTGGTAGTATATGTACCGTATTTTTCGCACCATAAGACACACTTTTTTCCACAAAACAGGGGGGTGGAAGTCTGTACGTCTTATGGAGCGAAGAAAACAGATTATATTTTTCTGTTTTCTTCTCCTAAAAATTGGTGCGTCTTATGGAAAGGTGCGTCTTATGGAGCGAAAAATACGGTATTTGATGCCTTTAATTGAAAGACTCAAGGTTATCTTACAGCAATTGAAATATTAAGGCCGGTAACCTATTGAGCTTCTGCGACGTGGGAAGTCCCCACTAGCAGAGGTATGTGGGATTATCCTGCTTGCCCAAGTGTTGCCATTCCATAAATAAATAAATAGGCAGACAGCCAGTTTCTTCATGATGGCCCCCATTTCCAAAACAGCAATGCTCTGCATAAGCACAGTAGGATAATGATTATGTGTTATAGAGTCAATTCTGACTTAAGAGTGCTCTTTCTTGAGTATTCTCAATATAGAATACTCAGTAATGGCTTACCATTCCTTTCTTCTGGGGGCACGCTTGGGGCTGTGCATACTGCCCAAGGCTGCACACGTTGGTTTTTCTCCTGAGACACACGCCCATATCCCAGCCTCTGGCTCTGCAGCCAGATTCACTGCTCTATCTAGCGACACGCCCACATAAGTTTAAAACAGAGCCGTCTATCTGGCTGGATAGCTGAGTGAGTTAGGTATCTGACTGTAGAGCCAGAGAGTTGACATTTGAATCCCCACTGTGCCTCCCAAGAGAAGAGCCAGCCTGTGTGGCCTTGGGCAAACGGCGCAGTCCCAGGGCGCCCCCAGAAGAAGGGATTGTGTAAACCACTTCGGAATACTCACTACCTAAAAAACTCTGAAAAGGGTCGCCAGAAGTCAGATGAATCTGATGACATGCAGTTATTATCAGCTATCATATTCAACTATCTTCCTCAAGAATAACAAATCATAAAAATAATCATTAAGGGTAATGCTGGTATTTAAAAATTTGACCGTCACATCTTGCCAAATGCCTGAGAATAGAGAAATATAATTATCTGGTGCAAAACGTTTTATACGAACAGGGCTAGCTGGGCCTTTCCCTTGTCTACACGAATCTCTCTTGTAGCAGAGAAATCCTTTAGGTTTAAAGCCACTGGAGACCTCTTAGCTAGACATAGAATTGTACACAGAAATGTACGTTGATGCTCACTGATGAGGAGGAGGACAGAGGGTAAGGCAACTGACAGCCAAAGCTGAGATATTGCAGTTAATCCACAGTGGCCAGCATTTAACCTGAGCCTTGCTCACTCAGAGAAACAGAATTTAGGAAGCCACAGCACTTTAGTAGTAATCTGGGTTCTCTCTGGACGGCCTTTGGATTTGCTTAGGTAAGTGGAACGGTTGATAGCATCTGTGTGGAGATACCCCCAAAAAAGGGGGGGGGAACTTAGTGTAAACACCTCTCAATTTTTTCCCCTTGGAAATTGTATTGTTTTCGTCTTGTTTTGTTTGTTAAAAACTTCAGCCTTTCTGAAGTCCCCGTTTCCCTTTTCATTAATATATCTATCTGCAATATTAACTGTAGTTTTCACAGAACTTTTCCCGCTAGCCTAAGGAGTGCTCCTTGGATCCAAAACTTACCTTATTGATTGCAGTGGATTCCGCCCCAGAACGTAGAAATTGTTTGGCATAATATTTGAAATGCTCATCAAAATGCTATGTTCATTTAAGAGTACTTTGAATGTGGTCGATGAAAAAAAAAAGCTTGCAGTAGTAATTCTCTGCTCACAGAAAAGAGAAGGCAATCATGTTAACCTGGAGTTCACTGTTCAAGTACTAGGTGCCGTAATTAACAGTAAGTAATGGATTTGTTTTAAAACTCGGAAGATGCCTTGGATAATGACAGATAAGCAGTGTGGTGATTTTCAGGTTCACATTCTAATATTGGATTCTGCATTTTAAAATCTGAGGGATGGGGTGAAAAAGACTGCCTTGACTATTGTGAATGAAACATGTTGTGACTAAATACTTCAAGCAAGAATGACTCATGTATTGTGACTTCATTTGCTTCGGGGAGTTAAAATGCTTTCTGTTAACACTTTTTTCTGCATATCATCAATTTGCTTTTGATTCACATTCTTCCTATTGTCGCTGTAAGCTTACTTGTTGTTTTTTCTTTCCTTTTCTTCATGCTGTCGTTTAGAGCCCTACAGAGAGACAAGTATGGGAGTAAAGCTAAACATTGCATATCAAATGTAATTTTTTTAGTTCACTTTTTAATGCATCATATATCAGTGATGTAGATATTTAAAACAGTTCATCACTTACAATGCAAAAATCAAGAATAATAAGCACTATTCGATAACGATTAATAGAGATTAGCTAAGTCTATTGTGTCTTATTTTCGTTTGGCCTTTCATCCAGTATATGTTTTACTTCTGTGTAACTGTGTTTGCGAATGAAATTTATTTTTTGTTAAAAACATTCTTGTCTGCAAAGTCATGCTGTTTTCTCCTGTTGCTGTGGCACATGTCATAAGAGCTATGCCTCATTTTCAGTGCAAAATGCTCCATTTATTTTCCTCAAGTAAACTAAAAGAGTGCAGCAAATAAATAATCCTTTGCTTTAGCAGAAAAAAAGAAAGTACAATGCCTTATCCATAACAACAATCACCCCAAAGTAACAATTACAGACAGATCTACCTGTTCATATGTCCCTTAAACACTGTGGATTGTTGATAGAGATTTATACTATGAAAATAAATGGCTTCCATCTGCATCTGTACTGGCTATTTCTATTTCTATCCATACTTTTTTCTCTATATCTAAAATACGGATTAAATACATATGCTGCATGTGCCAGAACATCAAATAAAGAGTGTGACATTCAAGGACTTTGAGGTACAGAAAAACTGCAAACTCTTGTGTGCGGTCTGTCGCTAGCGCTTCTCAGCCCTAGCCAGACATGCTGTTTATACTGCCTTACAGATGTAGATTGAAATCCCTATTTTTAGAAGGTACACACTAATCGCATGTTAAGGGTTTTTCTTGCTGAGGAAAATGGTCAACAAATTGCTTTTCTAATCCAAGAGTGTTGGTTCAGCCTTGTCTGCCGTCCCTGGCAACAGCATCTGAACTAACAGGGAAAGCATATGGAAGCTTTAATCATGTCTCATGTTTTGTGTGTATCTAAGGATTAGAATAAGTCAACAAGGAATCTCAGGTGGATCATGACCAACCAAAAACTGACTGTGGTCTCCCATAGGGCATCTCACCAGATGGCCCACACATGTTCCTCTTTGGGGATTTCCCACCCTTGAGTGTCCAAGATACACAAGCTGTTTTGATCAGCACAGAGCCATGTAAACAGTGTCCTCGTTCCGTAAAAAAGGCCAACTAAAGAATACAAACCAGTTAACTAGGATTTTTAAAAAAGTTTAGACAATGTTTCCTCAAGCTTAATGGTTTCAAAAGAAAGAGACCTCTTGGTGTTTTTTTTTTAAAGAGTATGGTAAAAAGCCTGTCCGAGATTTGCTACTGCCATAAGAGGGTCAGCTGTCAGACAACTCTCTGTAATGTCTGAGAGGTTTCAGGCAGCGTAAAGACTCCACGTTAAGAACCACTGGACTAGCACACATGCATAGCTTCCTGCAGAGAACACGAAGCCACCTTGGAGGATGGGGAAATTCCTGGTTTTTCGTAAAGACTGGCATAGAGTGTCTAGCTCACATGCATAGCTTCCTGCAGAGAACATGAAGCCATCTTGGAGGATGGGGAAATTCCTGGTTTTCCCAGGCTTCTTGCTAGATTGCCGGTCCTGTGCTTTAGAAGTTTAACCTTCCATTGGCACCAGTTTTTCCTTTCATTTATTTCTACTCCCATTTATTTCGTTGGGAGCTAAAATGAAAACACCAGCTCCAGGATGTGTCTGGGAAACAGACGGGTATGTGAACCAGTGGATCTGGGGCCTCCACCGATCAACCCCATTAAACAGCAGTACCAGGATGTGCCCTTTTGCTGGTGGTCACGCCAGCACAAAACCATGCCGCCATTCACAGGGAGGTCTCCCTCTTTGCTGTGAAGTATCCTGCGCCTCTTGGGATACCATCCCAGAGATCATAAAATATAATCCTAGAGAACCTAAACTCCTTCCTGTATAATCCTATGTATGGCGAGTGAGAAGTAAGTCACCAAGTTCAGTGGGGTTTAATATAAGGGATCTGAGCTTGTATTCATCTAATGAAACAATTATGCAAGCTCCTTCATCACTAGTTGTTTTAGGAATTAATTTTGTAAACTGCATGATGAATTTCTAAAAAAATTATACATAATAGCTCACTTTATTTATATGCTGTATTTATGTCAACAGCAAGCCATGCCTAAGGCAGGTTACAGTGGACATTAAATAAACACGAGGACATGGCATCGTACTAAATTATTCTCCAAAGTTCATCGTGCATAATCAAAGAGGAGAAGGTCAAAGTATAACGGCCAGAATCCAAAGGCGTGCTTCTGGGTCTGGCAGCCCCAGCTAGAACCAGCATGTCCTGTTTCTTTCTGCATCCTAAGAACTGGCTCCAAAGGACATGTAAGCCTGCAGGGCAAGCTTTTTTTGGTGCCACTGCAGCAGGAGGGGATATAAACAAATAGATATCAATGTGACCATTACATTTTGGGCCCATGAAATTATACATTAACCCATCGTGTTGAATAAACATAGAGTAAGATCAAAATGAAGAATAAAAACTAAAAAGCGAGATGTACACTCATTTCTAGCCCTGGTTCCGTAAGCTGGTTTAACTATAGTCTGGGACCCTGGGGTGTAGAACGTTCTCATTTGTGTGTACATAATATTAGACATGTTCATTTGTATGCAACATAATCTTAAGCATGTTTACTAATTTTTTATAAATCCGACAGAATTCAGTGGACTTTCTTGTGACTGTACTTCTACAGCCATGCAGCCCCTTGTGCTTGGAAATTAATCCCACTGATTTCAATAGGAAATCTCACCTACATGTACTTTTAAGACCCACTGAAATTCTTGGGACCTGCCACTTAGTAAGCATGTGCAGGACCAATCCACATTCACATGGTCTGGACAACGTACGATTTTTGTACAACCAAACTATCTCAGCCATTGCCTTTTAGGGCCAAATTGGATGAATTGCCAGGAGATCCGTGATCCTATATATTGCTCCCAGTTACGTCTTGTTTTCTAGTTCAAAGCAGCCACAGTAACCTCTCAGTTGGACGGGAAAAATGAGACTGAGGCAGCATTGCAACCTCTCGCCTGCCAGTTTGGTTTTCTCAAGTTAATTATTTTCACCGCAACGTGTAATTGGCCTCACAGGGAAGTGTGTACAGTACAGGCATTATAAGGATCGCACCACAGCTTGAAGGGTGTTTAGTGGCTCTGTTAGGGTTGGAATTGTGGAGCATTGGGGTGAGGTGAGGTTAGCCACTAATGAGTGCAGGTCATGGGAGGTGATAGCAATGCAGGAAAGGAAAATGAGGGTCTCTTTCTTTGTAAGCAGTTTAATGGTAAACTGATGGTAAATCTGCTGCTGTGCCAGCTCGTGAACAGATTTATCTCTTTATTTTTATTTTGTTACATTTATATCCCACCCAGATAGTGCCTAAACACTACTCTGGGCAGCTAACATGTTTAAAACACAACTACCGAACCCCATTATTTCAGATTCTCAAACGGTCCTAATAGTGCCTAAACACTACTCTGGGCAGCTACACAACTACCGAAGCCCACTATTTCAGATTCTCAAACGGTCCTAGAAACCCCTCATTTGCATCAACAAAGCCCTATCCATGTGGCACGGCCACACATCACGGTGGACAACTTCAGCCGGTGCCGGGGCCCGTTTCCTCCTCCTTGGTCTGCTGCAAGGCACTGACCCTTCAAAAGTAGTATCACTAGAATTATGCCTCTCCCACCCCGTCCTTCTCAGAGGGAGGATAAAAATAAGAGCACCGCAGAGCAGGAGAAGCTTTAGCCTCACCAGACTGCTGGTCTAAACTGTGTCTGAAGGAAGCCACTGATGGGGAATCACGGGGTAGAAATGGAGAAGGACATCTCAGCACCCACAACGGTGATCGGTCCAAAGTCATGAGAAAGGCTGGAGGAAACAAGCAGAATAACTGCAGCTAGCACGTCATGAGAAAGGCTGGAGGAAACAAGCAGTTTTCCAGCCCAGGCTTCTAAATCCTTACTCAGAAAGAATCACTGAGTAAGACTCACTGAGGCTTACTCCTGAATAACTGCAGCTAGCATTCCTGCTTTCAAATTGCTTGCAGAAATAGTGTTGTGTGTGAATTATATCTCAGGCACCTTTCCTGAGGATACACTGCTTATTCAGAAGGCATCAGAATGGCTGCCATTGCGGGAGGAACACAGGACATGGATTGCAGGCTAGAGAGAGGGCCCTAGGTTTAGGACATCTGTCCCGGAGATATCCTGGTGAAATTCATGTCATGCTGCAGGAAGAGAATCTCTCTCTCTCTCTCTGAGTTGCACTAAAACTGATCAGCAAAGCCCTATACATATTCATAGATAAGCGTATATAAGACTGCAGTCTAAATCATTAATCTCTGACATTTTCAATATTTTTGTGTTAGATATTGTCTCTTTTTCTAATATAAAAGGAGACCTTTTATCTTTGTATAATCGGGTCTATGACCACATAATAAAACTTTACCTATAAAAGAAGACCAGCATCTACAGGACATCTTACCTTTCAGGCAGAACTCTCTACCCTCCCCTGAATATTTTGCATACATTTTTTTGAGGGAGTAAGGTGTGGGTATAATTAATAGAAGGGGATTAGGAGAAAGCTTTGGGTGAAAAATCAATTGAGGAATTTAGCTGACCTGATCTGAAAGCAGGGAGCAAATTAATTTAATAATCTCTTCATGGGTGATCATCATTTGCTCCAACCAGCTTTTCCAATTTATACCCTGAATATGTGGTTCAGATTCAGAAAATATTCAGAATATAAAACCAATTGGGGGTATTTCTCCATTTCCAAACCAATCCAAAGCAAAACAAGGAAGCCTGAAATAGTGTCTGAATCAAATCAATGCTCTCCAAACCATTAAATACTGCTTCAACATTTTGAAGCTTAAAAAAACTAAAATTGATGGGGAGGCAACACCCGCTGTGACAACCAAAATAATATTGTAAGGGAAAGAACAGGAAGCCCAGAGTTGAAAAACACTGACAGTTCAAGCATCAAAGCAGAGTCCAAGCTCCCCTGAAAACCTCAGTTATACAGCCCCTGGGAAGCAATTCCCCTGTTCTATGATGAGCAGCTGTTTTGCAAAGGAAATATGTTAGACAAAAGAGAGAGCTTGCTCTTTGCATTGCTTTAATTTTCAGGAGGTAGAGTGGGTGTGCATTGAGACTCTTTTTTTTCTTTGTTGCTTTTAGGCAGCTGTGGATTTCAGTCAAATCAATTGAGTGCTTGTGTGTGGGAAATGTGTGCCATTGTGCAGGATCTGAGTGGGATAGGTTACAGTACCATTAGGAACAGACCTAAGCTATTTAAACTGTATTACTCCCAGTGAGGAATGAAACTGGTGGGAGCTTTTCCTGCACCTCGGAAGTTGAGCAGTAGTTGATAGCACTCAGTTTCATGTCCCCTCTTTGCAAGTCAGAGGTCTTTGTTTTCTCCATGTTCACATTTTTTTTAATATTCAGACAAATCCATATATGTACCGTGTTTCCCCGAAAATAAGACAGGGTCTTATATTAATTTTTGGTTTAACAATGCATTAGGTTTTTTTTTCAGGGGATTTTTTTTCATGTATAACAATCTACATTTATTCAGTCATGTCATCATCTTCTGTTTGCTGCACAATGGTGGAGAGTGGGCTTTCACTTAACTGGGGCTTATTTTTTGGGGTAGGGCTTATATTATGAGCATCCTGAAAAATCATACTAGGGCTTATTTTCAGGTTAGGTCTTATTTTGGGGAAAACAGGATACAAATACTTTAAAATGTTTGGATACAAATCAAATTGGACAGGCTACAAACAAATCCTTCAGATCAAATTGAAGCAGATAATACTTGCACACCCCTATTTACATAGTTACAGATGCTCTCTTTTTAAAAAAAAAACTTTAAATATATGTTATCAAGGTTTTGAATCTGTTCTTCTCCTGTTTTGCTACAGGAATGAAATAACAGTGGAGGGAGGGCCAGAGAGAAAAGTTGACGGTGTGCTTCAGAATACTGTAGAAGTAATTGTGGGCTTCACAACTGAAACATTTGAATTAATGCCTGGGGTAGGGGAGAGGTATGACCTAGCAGGACTACTGGGTGTTGTAATTCAAGTGAAATAAATAAATAAAGGAAGAGTGATGAAAACCACTGTCCCCATGCTGCTTCTCAAGTCTGATGCCCTCCCCTATACCCCACATCTGTACATGGCTGCATTGTACTAAAACAAAAGCAACGGGGATCATCTGGTCACTGACCTCTTTGCGCTTTGTCTCGTTTGGCCCTTAAAGGAACGAAATAAACATTTCTATATTATACTTGGGGAAGTTTGTATAATGTAATAATAACCGTTATTTAAGTTAATGCTTCTTTGATTTGGACAACAACAGTCATCAAATGATAGGTAGGGGTGGGGAATTTGTGACATTTCAATTGCCAGGGGACTCTGCCTCCCCTCATCTGCCCTTTGGCCATGGAGACTGAGGCCGATAGAAGATCAACAACAACATATGGAGGGATACACTCCGCACACACACACACACCCCAAAAAAAACCTGAGTTAAGAATCACAAATGTGTTTCAAGGCTTAAGGAGAGATTGCCCAAAGTCGTTTGTTGATATAAAGTAATTTCTTCCTATATAGAAACAAATAGTCTATTGACTCTTGGATCTGTCAATCTGAACTGCTTGGGCATGCAAATAAAACTTCTCTTTATTAATCTGGACCTAAAAAATATTGCCCCTTTTCAAAACAAACTATACATTCTCCCCCCCCCAAAAAAAATATATATGTCATGATCAACTTGTCTTCTTTGTAACTGAGCTTTTTAAAGAAATAATGTGGAACTAAGCAGACTTTGCCATACATGCAAAGTGATGCTTAACACTAGCAGGAGTATGCTTTTAGGCACCTATGAGGAGTCCACCCCGTTTTCCTCATCTCTTGTCCCTATAAGTTATGTATTTCTTTTACTTTGCACCACCCCACCTCCTTTTGCATTGTTACTCTAGACGAATGTAGCATAAGAGTGTAGCTTTGCTCCTTAAGGCAATAGCCATATAGAGCAGATGCCACCTGCACAGACCTTTGGTACAAGTCAACCTTTCTTCTGTGATATTTTTCAGAGGGGCTTCTGAACAATGCCAGGGATACAAGTGTCATGGATACTCTACCACTGAATGGTAACCACGGCAATAGCTACAGCATTGCCAGCAGTGAGTACCTGAGCAACTGTGTGCAAATCATTGACCATAGCTATAACCAGAGTGAGACTGCCTTAGAGAAAAAGATTCTAAAAGAACTCACGTCCAACTATATACCTTCCTACCTGAACAACCATGAGTGCTCAAATGAACAGAGTAGGAACCTGATGAACAAGTTCGTCAATAACCTAGGCAGCGGGAGTGAGGATGATGCCATTGTTCTCGACGATGCCACCTCGTTTAACCAAGAAGAAACCCTGGGTTTGGAACTTATCCACGAGGAATCGGATGCCCCGTTGCTACCCCCAAGGGTTTACTCTGCAGAGAACCACCAGCCTCATCACTACAGCAGGAGGCGGATACCGCAAGATAACAGCGAAAGTTTTTTCCCCTTGCTAACCAATGAGCACACCGAAGATCTCCAGTCGCCCCACAGGGATTCCCTTTACACTAGTATGCCCGCCCTGGCCAGCATGCCAGCCACAGAAAGCGTCACCGCCAGCACTCAGACCGACATCCCGCCAGTCAAAAGTGGTGACACTGATGATGTGTACTACAAGAGTATGCCAAACCTGGGCTCCAGGAACCACGTTCAACAGCTACACACTTACTATCAGTTGGGGCGAGGCAGCAGTGAAGGATTTATAGTCCCACCAAACAAGGATGAGACCCCAGCAGAAGAAACTTTGAAAGGACCTGCTCACTTGGTCACTAGTCTATAGAACATTATGAAAACATTTTAACAAAACAGATGCCCACGTCCAACACCCTGGATGACTGTTTGGAGTTTAATCAAAGCAGTGGTAATATTGTGTGTTCTCCTATTTCATGCTGTTCTAAACAACAAACAATTCTCATATCTTTTTAATGGAATTTGTAGGCCCACCCAGAAAGAATGGTAACTGCTGTGAACCTCCCCTCCTGCCCCCTCCCCGCCCCACATCCCGAGAGACTTCAGGATGCTAATTAAAGGGATGCAACGCGGAATGGTCCACTCCTGGACCTTCTCAAATTATACTGTGTTTAAGCATCTGTGGATGCTCTCTCCTCTTAGGACCAAGGACCTGGTTTACACAAGGCCAAACATGCATTCGAAACGACTAGCAATGATGCATCTAGATTGGAGTGCTGCACAAAACAGAAGCAAAAATAGCAAAACTGTTTATTCTGAATCTGTATCACATACTAGTTTTTTGGTCTCTCACCACTTGATTTCACCACAGCTCACTTAGCTGTGGAACAAACAAAACCTAATGAGATAGAAAGGAAGTCTGTAATTGTATGCTGCACAGCATATTTTTATGTTTTTCTGTATTAACTGATGATAATTCTAATGGCAGAAAACAAATGGAACAATTCCTATGTAATGTACAGATACTAGCATTGCACATATAGTCTGCTTTTTGTTCCGCCAGAACTTGCGTCCCTGTTAATGTAGTGGAAAAAAAAAACGAACAAACTTTTTTCTGTTGTGCTGGTCTTGCAAGTTTGTCTACCAGTAGAAGCAAGATTTTTCATACATCCTGTTTTGGCCATTTTTCCATTAAAAATCCAAAATAATTCACTTTATAAAGACCTTTTATTTTCAGTAACATCACACCGCATTTCAGTAGCCTCGTCTATCTTTTCCAACATATCCTTTCTTTATCCTCTCTTTAAATTTGCCAACACACCCTTCTTCAAACTAGAAAAGTCGACAAACCTTGACATTTGTGGTGCGCAACTGATGAAAGGTGGCAGCATTGGTGGCAAGCAGCCCTTCACTAAGGCATTATTCGGTACCTTGATAGGAGCCCTGGATGTCATAATGGGACTTCTGCATGTGAAATTGACACCTCTGCAGAAGTCAAAGTTCAAGGCCCAGGCTAGAAACTTTGAATGCAGTGGGTTGAAAAATTGACTGGCTCATAACAAAGATTTTTTTTTACAAAAAAAATTATTTTGAAGTGGCTAAAAAAAAATCCTTCCATTATTTTTCCTAATAGGAAATGTATTTATTTGACCAGATTTAAAGTAATGTAGGCCTTCCCAGGAGGTAAATTAGCAGCACAGATTCTACTCTTTTTTTTTTAATTTATGATGCATTTTTTGTATGGTCACCAAGTTGAATGACCTCATTACTAATATTTGTTGTAACAGTGAAATTTGTTTGCCAACCAATAAACAACTGATTAAGATTTAGAAGGCACTGTAATGTATCTCCTGTACAATCAGTCTCTCCTAACTGATCTCCCTCCTTCCATCTTCGGCAAAAGATTTTAGCCTTTTTAGGGCTGAAGGTAGCTATGCAAATAAAAGGATTATTCAGCAGGAAGTATGCAGAGAGGGTCTAGAAAAATCAGACCAGTTGCATGAAAGCAATTAGTGGGCCCTTGGGGGAGAGGGATATGTTTATAGCAGCCCTAGGGAACTGTGAGTATCTTTGGGACTGTGCAGCTCCATCGTTTTTTCTTTCCCCCCCCCCCAAAAAAATCCCTGCAGTTATCTGCATTTCCAGGCAAGCTGCTTCTAGCAGCTATGGTGGCTTCCACCAAAATGCAAAAACAGAACTTGACAGAGGAGATTTTTCTGGGGAACGCTCCCTTCCCCTGAATTCTCTACAGTCCCTGGGCTGCTCTGACTTCCCCTGATTGCTGTTTGCATAACAAAAAGTGCACAGTAATTGCATTCATGCAATTAACACCATGTCTAGTTTGGCCCTGCATTGTATGAAACTAAAAAGCAAGCCAACACTAAGCCAAGCCTCTCCGAGAACATGTGTTCTTTGCTCTATCAGTGCTGGGTAATTGCATTTTATGCAGAAGAGGCTTAACTCTCAGTTACGTTTGTTCGCATGTTAAAAATGGGGAAGGGGGAGGTCAGAAAAGCCCACTAAATTTCAGGAGAAGATGAAATAGCAGTGCTGAATTGTATCCTCCGGAGAGATGTTGACAGAACCCCTGTGGCATTCCACGCTCCAACCGAAGTGCTCTTTTGTTGATACTTGCTTGCAGGATTTTGCAAAATAAATTTAAAAGAAAAAAACCACACCAGTGCTATTTGAAGTTTATTTATTGAGACAGAGGGATTCAGTGATGTTTCCTGTGGGTTAACTAGGAAAAAGTTAGAATAAATCAATAAAATTAATCAAGAGGGGGTGGATTAAGAGATTATATGTGGTAACTGTAAAATCAAACGCAATTATTCCTTTTGTGACGGCCGAGTGCAAAAGCTTTTGCTGTTTCTGTTTATGACTTATTTCTTATTTTCATTTTATATGACCCTCCTTCTGTGCGGCAACATCCAGAACAGTGCACAACACAAGTAGAACAATAAAATATATTTAAACATATAACAAAATAAATCTAAGCAGCACAATGTACATCACCACAGACTGGTGGAAACACAAAATTAGCATCATTTGAAAGGCAACAGTTCTATCTTACGTCTCGTGAATTCCTGCAAACAAATCATATATTGAAAGGACTCGGGAAAGGCATTCCTTTCCTGAGCAACAACACAGATACATTATTAACATATCCAGTGCTGATGTTTTGCCTATCGGCATCTTTAAAAAGACGATCGTTGCTCATATGGGTACAGATGGTCCAGCAGATACTGTGAGTCCCAAATCATGTAATGTTTCAAAGGTAATAACCAACACTTTGAATGGAACTTCTACCACTGGTAGCCAGTGCAGTTGGCACTCAACAGGTGTCACGAGATTGTATCTTGAGACAAAGCCTAGCCATTGCATGCTGTACCAGTTGAAGCCTCAGAGTTTCCTTCAAGGGCAACCCTACGTAGAGCCAATTGCAGAGGTTACAGTGACATGGATCAGTGTGGCCTCATCAGTCCTCTCCAGTCAGGGAAAGACTCTCTGGACAAAGATTGAATTCTGGCCAAACCACACACCCCGCCTGTTTCTTCAGGTGGAGCTTTGGGGCTAAGAAAACACTGAAGCTCCTTACATTGTTCACAAGGGGGATCTGTATTCCCTCAGCCACCAGACAAGTGACAATTAGATTTGTCAGCTGCTGAACAGACACACCATCTCTGTCTTCTTCTAATGCCGCAAGAGGTCACATTTTTCCATATCCATATTTTCCTAGCCCTGCACAGATGACAATCAAGGTTGAATCAAACTGTGGAGGGAACAGAAAGTGCACCCACCAACCTCACTTCCCAGTCTTTGCACAATGCAGAAACGGTCACTGGTATGTGGACTTTCCTTTTTAGATAGCCAATGATGATGATGATGATGTGACAACGATGACAATGACTGCCTTTTAATTACTTTCTTTGGATCAGTACTGACAGACTAGACATCTGGGGAAATGCTACCGCATGTTGATTTGTCTTCTTTTCTAGAAAGAAAGGTTACAAGTTACTACATTAACGTAAGTCCTTTTCCTGGAATCTACTTCCTAAAGCCTAGACAGTCTGTTTTATATGTAATAATCTTATTTGTAATACACAACCTGCTGTTTCTTCTTTTTTTTTTCACCTTTATTTGTAATGAGGTCATAAAGTTGTTAGTTTTGCAAAGTAACATGACCAATAACATTGTGTGCGCTTGCGTGTGAGTGCAAGCACACAAAAAATTAACATATACTTGTGGCTTCTCAAAAAAATTGTGGGGGGCTAATTGGGATGATTCTTGGTCATTTTCATTTTTTTATATTTAAAAAACTTATCAAAACATTGCCAATGTATTACTAAAGTGTTAATAATTTTAAGTAACACAATGCTTTCCAAAAAAATAATGCCCAATGTTAACACATTGCTCTTCTTGTGTCTAGAGATTCTTCTGTGTGCAAGTGTTGCACCCTAGGACTGGATGTAGGGGAGTACAATCCCACCCTTGATTCTTCAGTACCTATTCCTTAAGGTCGATGGCTAGGCTATTACCTTGATACAGGCTAGACACAGTGTTCACATGACCAAGGAACTAGGTTTCGCTGTTTAATGGAACACCTTATGGAAGAATCATTCTTTTTTAACTGCTGTAAAATTGCTTGCTAATGGTTAAAATTTGAACATGCACTCTCAGGACCAAAACCGGTATATCAAAAGAAATGGGGTTCCTTGATATGGTAAAAAAAAAGTCAGATTGTCCTAGTGAAAGAATGCTTCACTCCTTACTTTGCATATCAGCTGGCTGATCACTTGTGAATGTTCATCAGAAGGTAAATGCTTTCTTTTGCACGTCCAATTCTGCTGTGAAAAAATTGTCTGCCAAGAAGAAAAACATGGGAACAGCAGGAAACATGCATTTCCCTTCACATATGATTTGACCATCAAACAATAATGTACAGTTTCACCTAATGGTATCATATAATCTAGTACTTGAAATATAAATGAAATATATCTATCTCATATTGACCAGAATCCTATTGGCACTTTATATGCATAAGTGAAATCTTGTTAAGTCGCAGTAGAGAATTGCTGTTGTTTAAGAGGATGCTATACATGTTCCCGGTTGTATGCTAGTCATGCACAACCATCAATGAAAGCAGCATCTTGTTAATTAGCAACAATTCAACATTCACAGTGTGGTGCATTGGACAGAGTGATGGACTAGGACTTTGGAGAAGAGGGTTCAAATCCCAAGTGGCCATGGAAACTCCCTGAGGGAATGGAACTGGTAGAACCACTCATTAAATATATCACCTTGAAAATCCTATTGGGATTGCTATAAGTCAGTTCTGACATGACAGAACAGCGCGCGCGCGCGCACGCACACACACACACAAAATTTATGCTACTTAGGTTATGCACATGTAAATTACCAATAGGATTCTAGCCCTTATAGAAAACCCAATCTCTTAACACGGTTACCTAATATTTTTAATGGGTTCTGCAACAAAACTTTGCAGCATATACTTAACATGTAACAGAGCTCTCTCTCTCTCACACACACACACACACACACACTATGCTACTTAGGTTACGCACATGTAAATTACCAATAGGATTCTGGCCCTTATAGAAAACCCAAACTCTTAACATGGTTACCTAATATTTTTAATGGGTTCTGCAACAAAACTTTGCAGCATATACTTAACATGTAACAGAGGACTTGTAACAGAAGAGCCTGGGGGAGGGAGCTGTGGATAAAAGAAAAAGAAAATTCCTTTTTTCTTTCCCTTCCTTCTGAAATATCTCCTTATTGCATCCAGAAAGATATTGGAGGGGGTTTTACCTCAAAGTAATAAAACATTATTAGGGCAACACAGTATTAGGCCAGTTTCCCCTGCCGTACTGTTCTCCAATTCTCCCTTTTTAAAAAAACATTAATGTATACTCTAAAATCAGCCACCCTCCGCCAGGCCACAGTTTTAACTCCTTTTATTCCAAGGACTTTTAATACTGAACCATAACGGACTCTAATATTCAACGGTCCACCAAAGGCCAAACACATTCTCACTGAAGACCCGTTCAGGCATGTAGTATTCGTGGGTATCAAATGGATGAGGAAGCTAGTGGAAATGCGTGGGGTTGCCCTGGCCTCCTAAAACTTCAATCAGGCTTCTGTCCTGAAGCCAGCCCCCTTCCTGCCTGACATCTTATGGGAGGTAGTGTGGCTCTATTCCTTTCTAAGTATACAGGAATCTTTGCTTCCAAGTGTACACGTATGAAGAAGAGAAAGGGAAAGAGGGCTGCAAAGGGTTCCAGTTGCCACTTGACTCCGCAGGACTACAGCTGCCTGTTCCCCTTGGCGTCTTCACAGGTTTGGTACCCATAAATGCCAAATATATAATAAAAGGTCCCATGGCTTCCTCCATGCACAGAGGCT